ACTGCAGCTGTCAGGAGAGGCAAAGTGGGTTCCCATCCTAATCCTGCACTGACCTCGGAGCCGAGCCTGAGAACCTGTCAGAAAGGTGCTCTCACAGCACAAGACAGCGAGCAGCAGCTGCTTATGCTCAGCAGGCTGCAGCCAGTCTTTTTTTTTACTTCCATATTTTTTATTCTCTTTTTTTTCTTTTTTTCTCCCTTGTATTTTTTTACTGTCACTCTGGATACACACTGCATGGCACTCGTGTATGCACATCCCTGCTCCTGGTGAGAAGGAGCTGCCTGTGAGCTCAGTTTTTGACATGCTCAAGCCCTTATCATGATGAAACCCAATGTCCTCTAGTCAAACTGCAGGCAGAAAACCTGCACCCACCTTGTGCGTGGGATGAGAAGCATGAAAGATATATTTAAAGGTATTTCCAAATCCAATTAAATGCAGGTATTTGACAGTGTTAATTCTTTTATGCAATTAACAATAGTATTAAGCTTTTTCCCCTTGAAAATAAAGAAAATTAATTTGAAATGTATATCAATAATACAAGCAAAAGGGAAAAAGAGCCTCTTTAATCATACTAAATTAGTCACTAAAGCATAAACATGTGGCAGAATATTTAACATATCTCTAATTCGAAGGTGTGATTTTTCTTAAATACAAGGCAGAAAGCAGAGAAAAAGCAACCTTTTTCAAGTATTTTAACTGAGATGCAATGCAGATCCAATATTAACTCAGTGAAAAACCTGACAAATAACAGACCCGAGATGGAAAACCTGAATAATGCCTTTGAATTAGATATTCATTCAAACAAACGAACCTCAGTGATTCAACTTGGTATGGTCTGTCCACAATGGCTCAAATTACTAAACTGACTTGAAGACAGCTGTGTTCTGCCTGAAGATCAATAAAGGAGGTGGTTTATCAGTGGTGACAATACTCTTGTCACCGTGCATTTATCCCACTTTGCTCTTCATGGCACCTTAGAGCAGTCTAATTTTCTAAAATAAACAAGAATGCAAAAATCATGACTGTTTATGGAAAGCTAATTCTGAAAGGAAGAGATTGAAAAAGGACAGTTTTTTGTAGGAGTTACTTGAATACAATTTAAAGAATTACTCACCATCTCAGCATTACTCAGAACAGCCTCATCAGTTTTGCTTCCAGTTCACTGCAAGCTCTGGTTCTTGTCACAGGTATTCAGAATCTTCCTTTGGTACCACAAGCTCATCCTTCCACCACTAATTAAACAACTCATCAAGTTTCCTCCTTCAATCATAGAATCATAGAAAGGTCAGGGTTGGAAGTGACCTGAAAGGTCATCTAGTTCTAATCCCTCTGCCATGGGCAGGGACACTTTCCCCTATACCAGGTTGCTCAAAGCCCCATCCTGCCTGGCCTTGAACATTTCCAGGGATGGAGCATCCCCAGCTTCTCTGGACAACCTGTTCCAGTGTCTCGCTACCCTCACAGGACAGAATTTCTTCCTAATATCCAATGTAAATCTACCCTCCTTCAGCTTAAAGTCATTCCCCCTTGTTCTATCAATGCCCTTGTAAAAAGTCCATCTACAGCCTTCTTGTAGCCCCCTTTAAGTACTGGAAGGTTCTATAAGGTCTCTCCACAGCCTTCTCTTCTCCAGCTTGAATAATCACAACTCTCTCAGCCTGTCTTCATAGGAGAAATGCTCTGGCCCTGTGATCATATTCATGCTGCTCCTCTGGACCCGCTCCAGCAGGTCCATGAAACCTTGAATACATAAGGAAACAATGAACAAACCTAAAGGGTTTTCAATCCAACTTTTGCAAATTTGACCCATGTATTTCCTGGTTTTGTACCGTGGGGCGTTTCGTGACTGGAAGATTCATACTGGTTTCAGTGAAGAAAAACTTAATTACAGATAGCAAAGTCCCAACCACACTAAGTTCTCACATAAAACTTGTGATATCCAACACCAAGATATCGAAAAAAATGTCATTTCATTATTGATACTGGTCTGAGCTCAAAAAAAAATACATCTTAAACTAGCCAAGCAGGGTTACTGCCTTTTTCTGAAGTAATTTTCAGACATTCTGCTTTCTTACTGCTTCTCAAAGGTACATGACAAATGTAACTTAGATGACAAAACCATCAGACCTCCTCTAAGTGCTGGGAATTGAGGAGAGCACTTGAGTTCCACCACCTCCTGTGAAGAGCATTTTCCTGCTAATTTCTGGGACTGCATCAAGCCAACCAAAGACTGTCAGGAGAACGGGAGACAGGTAAGTAACAGGCACCTGGCAACAGCACCATCATTCCTCCAGGCATCAGGCCACCCCTGAGGAAACAACAGCTAGAAGTTCCTTGGCAAAACAGGTTACCAGGAGCTCATCAAATCTCACCTTTGATCAGCACACCGGCTTATGAAACACAGCACTGCATTAGAAGATAGTCCCCTTGGACTTAGAGGTATTTCAAGACACAGGGCATTGTTATATATATGAGAGATCTTCTAGTGGGCAGATTTCTATTATCTAAAGGTATTCTTGACACTGAAGCACAAGGAGTTATTTATTCCCAAGTGAAAACCTAAGTCTTCAAGACACAGGCTCTGCAAAGAGTGCCTGCCTGCATGAGAACTACCCCATGGCACACCTCTGTGCTCCAAGGCAAGCTGCGTTCCTTCAGCTGGGGCTCCCTCTAGGAAGCAAACTTCACAAATGAGATACGAATTAAATGCTGTAAAACCAAAATTCTGTATGAAACTTTACCCCCGGGAAAAAGAAAGAGAAACTAGCGGATTGCTTGTGACAGGTGTTAGCTGTGCCTCTCATGGCACTACCGAAATGTGCGCACGTACATGGTGAAGGGTGCAGGAGGTGGGACCTGATAAAACAAAACTCCACCGACCCTAATCTACAGAAGGGTGTGGGTAAAACCGCTTTTAAACCTCAAAGTGAAATTATCCCATCATACTTAACTAATACTCAAAGTGACTAAAACCTTAAGGGTTTATAAACTATGAGCAGCTGAGCCTGGATGCACTGACTATACAACATAAGGCTCACTACTGTGAACAGCCCACAAAATACCGATTAAAACTCTGTGTAAGAAGTTTTAAGCTTGATAACATGAGTGTGCACAGATGAGCTCTTTTAAATAAAAAAGTTTTTCTTGCCATAAGTGAGAATCCTGAGTAAGTACACAGACTGTTTCCAACCAGAGATTTTTAACAGCCTCATTATGACCTGAAATAAAAGATGCTTTTCTCGTGAATCAAAATTTTTACTGCAAAAATGTATCTTTTTATTTTCTTAGAGGTTACCTGATTTATTACTAAAAATACTGAGGAAAAATTTTATACTTTTGTCAGTACACATCATGTAGTTCACTATATAATTAATGCTTCTGCTATGATTAAAGTTGGTTATAAAGCAACCTTCTGCAAAATGCCTAAAAGTTGTATTTTCAAATCAAGAAAAGAGGATTACCAGAACAGGAGATATGCTGTTAGGGAAATGACTGATTGATAAAATAGGATACTTGCTATATTGCCAGCTGCCCTAGGTGTTTGCCTGCAGAGAGAGGCTGTGCTGCTACTCTCATAACTATAATCATTTCCCAATATACACCTGACAGGTGCCAACTTCAAGCCCGGGTAAAACAAAAGCATTACTACAGCACCACTCCTGCAATCATATCCCTCTATCAGCTGCAGGGTGCAAGAAGCTAAAATAAACTGTTCATGGATAAGCTGACCACGCTGCTAGATTGCATGTTACACGCATTAAATGCCAACTTGCCCAGTCATAAAGTTTTGATTACATTTAATACTCTAAGGGAGAAAATAACTGACTTGAGGGGATACACACAGTATCTGTAGTGGATCTTTTCAAAATTAAACCTTCTCAAACTTCATTTTCTAATCATGGTATTGGATGGTTTATTACATTTTAACCATCTTCCTCATCAAACAATAGGAAATCCTTATTTCATATTCACATAGAAACAGAGCAGCGTTCTTGCTCTCCATCTGCTGGCTCTGCAGCAGCAGTTGACCATGACTTCCAGAACACTCTCATTGCTGATACAGCAAGGAACAAGACACAAAGGGTTTATCCTACACCCCTTACTATTAATATTTTATGAAGTTGTGTCTGTAATGAAATGAAAGTAGACATTACAGAACCAAAAATAATCCCAGAACTTATCAGACAGAAAATATGAACGTGATGACTTGGGTTTTATGACTTCAAAGAATTCATTGCTTTAATCATACTAATTTCTTCTGAGTAAATTTACTTCAGACTGGATATCTGTTAAGAATGTTATTTATTTTTATTTACTACATCATAATAATTGTGATTATCATTGATTTATATTACTGATATAACATTACTGACCTCACGGCTTATGATGTGCCATATTCTAGAGTTCTTCTACTTGATCCAAGTGTTAATTCAACAGTTACCTTCAAAATAATCCCACACACAGAGCCCACCATGAGAGCTGGTATCCAATCTCTTACTGACAGGTTCTAATAACCAGTACACTAAGTTCTTTTAAAAAGCTAATAGCAAATTAAAAGTTGCAGATATATATTTGCACTCTTGCATGTCTCTGAGAGACAGACATACTCCAGTACACACGCTAGCACAGAGCAGAGCTTTAGAAGATGGACTCATTGGACAGGCTGGCCTAAAGTGGCAGCCAGTGGTTAAACAAGGTGGTTTAACTTATCCAACAACCTCTGACGTGCTGCATGATCAAACTTACAGTGGAATCAATGGGACAACTCCAAAGAAACTGCTACTCTGGCTTCCCTAAACACTCCTGTATCACACAACACTGCTCAAGCCATGGACAAGAATGACCCAGGTGCCAAGAATAAAGTGATTTTTAAAGCACACTAGCAATATCTGCCAGCATCCCATTTATGTTCTTTGAGGTTTTCACATATCTGATTTCCCACTCACTTGATTTGCCTGAAATTTCATTTTACTCTTTTCCTAGCCCAGGGCACTGGTTACCTTGTAGTACTACCACAGTCTGTCCAGATGGTGTTCCAAGATCCACTCCAGCTTCTACAAGGAAAGGAGAGGCAGTCATTAGAGGCCCTCCTGCCTCCCTTTTCAGTGGGAAAACTAAGACTGTGTAATTGGGATTAGATGGTTTGGTGCGAGGCTGAAAGGAGCCAAACTACAGATCTGCATCATTTCAAACCAGTTTACTTGAATTTGCAGAGGTTTTCAGGGGGTCTCTTGCAAGGAGATCATAAAAAAACCCCACCGCACACAGAACACCACACTGAGCTGTCAGAGAATAAGAACGATAACCATAACATCGAAGAATGGGAAAGACATTATAAAAAAACAGGAATAAAGTGGTTAATTTTCTCAATAAAGGGAAATCATCAGTCAAGTCCCATGGAATGTAATACTTCAATCTATATACAAACTGTCTCCCCTTAAAATCTGTAAGAAGGTTATACTATTTACATTAATAAAAATAATGTTAGTCACAAAGAGCTACATAAGCACCTCACAGAGTAGTGGGAATGGGATATAAAGTGACAAATGAAATTCACCATAGGTAAGTGTGAATCAGTGCACACTGAGGGAAAAATATCCAGACTTCGTGTGCACACTAAACTACTGTCTACTGCTCAGGAAAAAGATTGTGGGGTTACAAGACATGATTTTAAAGAAAACATTTGCCTCAGACTCTGATGCAGTCAAAAACCAAACTGAGCATTTGCTTTTACCTAAGAAAAAGAAAACTAAATAGAAAATATTTTATGCAGCTGCACAAAATAACAGCCTGAAAAAAAGTGACCCCTTTATTTATCCTCTCTCCTGTAAGAGAATGTAGTTGAACTTCCAAGTGTGTAGAGAACAGTGGGAAAAATATCAGGGACTGTTCAGCCTCAAAAAGGAAGGACTGAACGGTGTGACCAGTACCCCCTGACCCTGACCCCCGGTAAACCTCAAGTTTGTGTGACAAACAGGAATGCATTTGAGCCTTGAGTCACAGAAGACACCGAGTGAGTAAAATGGTTCACTGTTGCTTCTAATTTAGGAGTAAGTAGGCATTAAATAAAACCGGCATGATAAGCTAAAAAAAAAATAACTTCATTTATCACAGAGGCTGCAATACTCTGTCACAAGTTATTGCAGGTGGTGAAACAATTGACAGAAGTTCAAGGAGTGTTTTACTGGGGTAGGGGAGACCAGTGAAGGGCTATTAACCACAAGGACATTATCTCTTGCTCTGGAAGACCCTCCAGCCACAAGCAGCTGGAAGCTGAACAAAAGCACTGCTCCCTTATTGCCCTGTCCATAAACCTTACCCAGGCACTGGCTACTGTTGGGAACTGGCTACTGCAAGAGTTACTGCTGCCTTACCCAAAATGGCTGTTTTTACATTTTTGTTTCTGCCACAAGAAGCCACAGGCAACCACAATGAGAGGCTCTGGGGGTAGGCAATCAGCTCCCAGGCAGGCTGGAGAGAGGCAGATACAACAGCTCAGCTAAGAAGTCCTTCCCTTCCTCTCACTTCTGTGTTCTGCATCCATTCAAAACACCTTAAAAACCTCAATTATTTTCAAATATCTCCAGATATGAGTTAAATAGATGCGATTAAAGGGAAGTAAAGTCTTTCAAAGCTACCCTTATACTTAAAACAAAACATTCAAAGACCAGGAATCTCACTACTTACCTGGAAGAAAAACTTAGTCATTGAAAAAGGAAAACACAGATGCCCTGGAAACTTTCTGTTATTCAAACAAAAATGAAAAGGTTCTAAAAATCACCTTCTCCAACTTGTCAACTTAATTTTCAAACCTAAAGCCATATTACAGTTTAAAGGAACCAGAAACTGGATTAGCAGTCTCTCAGCTGGGCATCACCTACACATTTAACGAGCACACTCAGTATTCCATCACTCTGATCAATAATGAAAATAGTGGTACCATTAACCCAAGGCAGCGTCCCATGGAAGCAAACTCAGTGAATCTTTTCATTCAGACAATGAACTACCCGCTGACAATCCTGCACTATGGTTTTAAAATGAGTTTTGCATGTATTGTATAGCTCCTGACTTCCTAATTTGCTATCAGAAGGCCACTGAGATGTCACAAAAACACTTGTCGATGTCAAGCTTCTGACATGCACTGTTTCTCTTCTGTTCACAAAACATATTGAATTAAACATTTAAAGTATGAGTGAAACGTGCTATATACTTAATTTTCAAATAATTTAGCTACAGAATTTTTCACTGTAAATATTCATTATAAATTCCAATACGTATTTTCTCATGGTAGATCTTTATTGATCCTCAGAAGTTCTCTCACAAAACAACTGGTCTCATTCAACTGGGTTAAAATGTTATTTTTACAAGTGTCTAAATACAAATTCACATAGACCTGTTTCATTCCTCAGAATAAACAAACACACACGCAAACAGTTTACAGAAATATAATTAAAGTATGGACTTTGCTCTTCTATTTCTACTTAAAGTGTGTTTTTTATTCGATCTTGTTATTTATTATTAAATATTAATACCAGTAAAAACTATTTTGGGTACTGAGTTTTTGTACAGTCAGACTGCAATGCATTATTGATGTTGTTGCACCTAAAAGAAGATAACTTTTAGACCTTCACAGTCTGGATTTAGGTGTTTCATTTCCACTGAAATTTAGTGAAAGATAGAAGAGCTCAACTATTGTTAATACCTCCGGAAACTTCCTCAAACTTACAACACATTTTTCTTCAAATATGGGTATGGGACATTTCAATATTCACACAGAACCCAAGATGCAGTCTTACAAATTCTGGGGGGGTTCTTAATTGTGAAAAGCATGCCTGTCTACTTTACAGACACACCAGCTAGAGAAGTACCTACCCTACTGTTTCTCTGAATATGAGCCTTTACAGACACAATGTTATCAGCTCAATTTTATCCCAAGTCTGTATCTTTGTATTTCTCATTTTAAGATCCAGCAACCTAGTCCTGAAATTATAAGTAGTTCTATTATTTCATGTTTAAATAACAGGTTTGGTGGTTTGTTTTCCATTTAATCTGTATCATCCATCCTATGATAATATAGGATTAATTGGTCAACTTGATGTTATATTTTTCCCACCAGGACTGTAAATAGTCCATAATCTTGGGAAAGAAGTATCTATTAATAATTCTTACAAGTAAATCATCCTCATTCTTAAAAAACATGCAGTAATTCTCAATTTGAAAAGAATCATTAGAGGTCATAAATGTTTTAAAAAAATCTTCTCAGCCTGAAACTTCAAATTCTCCCATTTTTCTGTTTTAAAGCAAGTATTGTACTCATTCTCTACATTGTGCAAAACCAGATTTGCTCTGCTATTTCAACTTGCTCTTCCTTCAACTGCAGGCCACTATGTGCAGCGAGTCGCTGCAAAGCTGCTTTTATTGACAGGTACCTCCCGCCTCACCACATCCCCACGGCCTTTCTTTTAAAGTCTACAATGGTGAAGCTGGATGGGAAAATGCTTGGGTGCTTTGTTTCAGGTCTGAGCAGCATCTTGCTTTCCCACAACAGGTAGGCACAGGCAGAGAGTGCTGCTGAATGCAGGAGACCTCACCAGAGGATCAAACCACTAGTTACTGCTACTGTCTCAGGCACTGCATATTCTCTACTGACCATGGCTCTTTGCCAAGCTCTAATTAAGACACTTCAGTGTGTCAGGCAGTTAACCCTCTGCTGCACATACCTTCTCCAGAAGCACCAAGGTATGAGCATATTCTTTCTAAAAATACCCGAGCAGCTTTGCCATTACTGGTACTGTGAGGTCTCCAAGCCCTTCAAGTTTTTACCTTGCCAATTCTATAAATGAGGATGAATTAAAGAGGTAGTTGGCACCATGACTTTTAGCAGCATTTCTAAAAGTGAATAAGCATTCCTCCTGTATGAATTTGGTGTGTATTCCCAAGTCTATTTTCTTTTGAAGAAAAATATCTCACTTTGTCAAAGAGCAGAAATTCCTTTAAAAAAAATTAAGAACAGGCTGTAGAAAATTCTTTACTCTCCAAATAGCTTTTTGTTCTGTTCTTGAAGGCTGTAGAGCAGCAATGCTGCTGTAAGGGAAACGAGGAATCTGAACAATCCAGAGCTGCATTTTTATTTCACAAGAGATCAAACACAAACACAACATTTGCTGATCTATCAGTCCTATCTATTGGTCTCACGCAAAGAACAACCACCACTGAACTGAATGAGGGGAAGCTGTGACAATAGTCTGTGACAATAGTCAGAGGGGGTAAAAGGAAGCCCATGCCGAGGCTGTTTGCATCTACTGTAATCTATATTTTCTTCTTCAAAAACCCTGTTTAACCACTGCATCCTGTCTGTACATGGAAATCTTCCCTAATGAAAAGCAATATAAGTCACAATGTGACTGAGAGATAAACTAAGTTAATTTCATTCTAGTAACTGGGGGGGTGGGGGGAATAATCATAACTTGGATATGAAAAATGTCTATGTGAAATAAAACCAACAGGAAAAAGCAAACTGTTTCAACTTTTAAAGAGGTAAAAAAACCAGAAAATGTAGTTGACCAACCAGTTGTCCTCACATTGCAGAGTATAACAAGGCATTTGTAATGGAGCCCTTGATTACTTCAGGGCAACAAAAATCTGAATATTACAGAGTCTAAACGAGGTTAATTTGTAAGCCAATTCCACATCTTTGCTCTTACTGTGCATTAGCCCCAGTGGCAGGAAAACCAGAGCTGTTTTCCAAAGCCATTACTGATCTGATCTTGGTTAGGGACAAGTTTTCCTTTTCTGAAATTTAATTATTTGCTTTAGACAATATGTTAACAACTAAAATATCTGATCCTCCATATACCTGTATTTCTGGAGAGCAACACCTGAGTTCTTCATTTCAAAGAAATCCAGAAACCAACATATGTTACATAAACAAGCTCATAATGTTGTCTTAGTATTAGACGATACTGCCCATTTTTAAACCAAAATAAATGAGATGTCTAGTGGGCTTAAGAATTTTTTTTTAATTTAGTAAGAATAATTTCAAACATTTTGTGCT